TGTGTGCGTGTGTGTGTGTGTGTGTGTGTGTGTGTGTGTGTGCGTGTGTGTGTGTGTGTGTGTGTGTGTGTGCGTGTGTGTGTGTGTGTGTGCGTGTGTGTGCGTGTGTGTGTGTGTGTGTGTGTGTGTGTGTGTGTGTGTGTGTGTGTGCGTGTGTGTGTGTGTGTGTGTGTGTGTGTGTGTGTGCTAAATTGAAAACAAAATCTTGTTTTATTTCGACCTCTTCATCTCATTAAGTCTTTAATTTTATGATACTTATTACAGAACTCCAGCTTCCCCCCCAAAAAAACTAGTGGGCTTTACCCATCAATGCTGGTTCATAAACTGATGACAGCTGATGACAGGTGAGTTGAATTCAGAGTTGTCCTTCTCATAGTTTGGTTATCCTACTAAGGTTAAAACATGCAGTCTGCCCTACCATTTTACATAAAGTTAGGCACAATAAGAAGCAATAGATTTAAGCATCTTTCAAGGATATTAGTGCAAAATTAACGCAATGCCGTTGCAGTGGTACGTATATATATGTGTAAGAAGAGGTTCCACAAAATTATTACGATGTTTGATCAGGGTTCTGCCAAAAAAATTGCTCGCGCGCACACACACACACAAATGCGGGAATAAGTAAAAAATTATCCGACATTTTCAAGTTTTGTGTCATGAAATAGGACAAACAGAAAGACAAGTTCTACCTACTGAAATTCTTTTGTTGTCTCAAGGTGACGTTCGGAATTGTTATTTTAAATTTCATGATAAAATTAGTGCCTTTTTAATTGATCTAAAAATTAACCTTTGAAAGCCGGAATACATTTTCTTGCCTTGTGAATATATTTAAGTAACATGTTTTTTGTTTCTCAGATTAATTAAATGTAAGTTTCTGAAAATAAACTGCAGACTTATTTCATGTCACAGGTAAAGTTTAAAACAATAAAAATTATGAGAGAGTCAACTTAAAGAGAATATAAAAAATTCAAACCCTATTTAATTTCGTATTGAACTCATAAGTTGATAGAACATTTTATTCGACATATGAAACGTTTAAAAGAAACTTTAAAACATTACTTTCTGTGACGATTAACAGGGATCCATTAATTTTCAAAAATATACCTGAAATCAACAATTTGACAATTTACGATTAAGATAAACTGACAAAGGTATCATGTGATAACTCCTTAAAATGTTTTCCCTAAAAACAGTATTTTTTGCGGGGGTGTGAGTATCAGTGAGAAATTCTTATCCAGAATTAACACAAAAAGGTCCTTCAAGAAAGGACTTCCTTTCATAAAACTTACCCTCGTACTCGGTCTTTTTCCATCTTTCAGTATGTACAAACAAAGAAATGAAAACGGGAGAATGTTGAAAATTAACAGGTACAAATATTGAACCTGGCACAAGTCTTGTAGCGGAGAGACATAAGCATAGTTATCAAAAATATAATTATTGAACCTTTTAGATCCGAATAAATGAATGAGCAACGGGCAAATGGGTTGTAATGGAGAAAATAATGTTGAGGGCATCGAAACCGTAGAGAACCATGATCATCACGTCATGAATTGACGTGACAAATAGAAATACAGAGAAAAGAGAACGTACTTGACAATTTTATGCAAATAGTTGGAAGATCAAGTACCATGAAGACAGTGAAGTGTTATAAAGAAAACAGTATCGCTGAGAACAATGAATGACAAGAATCTGTAATGACCTTACGTCCTGAAGAGACATGCCTGAGAGAGATCTATTAATAGATCACTAAGTGAAGTTCGACTCTTTACATTAGCCCGCGAGAAGAGATTGCAAACTGCTGCTCTCTATTTAAAACAAAATTAATTTTTGATGGTCAAATGTTACATATTATTGCAGTTCATTAATTTATGTTTAAAGACTAAAAATAGAAACTGCGAGAATATTATCTTTACAGTTGTCTCTAAGTTTTGAAATTCCGAAACAACTTATTGAAACATCATTTAAATGAAATAAAACGAAATAATATCAATTTTTAAAGTAACCTCTTTAACTAAATTTCAATTCTAAAACTGATAAGCTCATGTCCCTAAATTGACCACATTTTAAGCTTTCTGATGAAAACAGCATACATTTGAACAAAGTTTAGTTTTTCAACATAATTTTCTTCCTTTACAATGTACATAACTGAACATTTCTTCATTATTCACAAATATTATACAGTTAATATTTTAGATCAAAATTCATTCTTATAATACTCGGTTATAAATATATAGATAGACAAAGAAAAATGATGTAAAATTTCTATACTCCCCCCTTACTCCTACAACACGGCTAAACGTAAAATTAATCAAATCTTCCTTGTCTGTCAAATTTAATGAAAGAAGTTTAAAAGAAAGGTTGTTGCCCAAATATATATATATATATATATATATATATATATATATATATATATGTATGTATGCATACGTGTGTGGGTGCGTGTGTTTGTGTGTCTACTGACTGTCTCGCAGGCCATTAAAAGTTTAATAAAATCGACCTTCATTGCATGTATTAATGCAGGTGTCCCCCAAGGCTATATCCATGGTTATACTCTTATTTTGATTTTCATTAATGACTTTCCTGATGACATCACCTCTCAACTTACTATCTACGCTGACGACACAACAATTTACCCCTGCCTCGATGGTAAAGCTTATCAGTTTGACAAGGTTAAATTTGCAGCTGATGTCCAAAACGACCTCAAGTCCGTATTTAACTTGGATGGTGTGTTAATTTTAACGTTTCCAGAACTAAACTTCTCTCCATGAATCATCTGATAAACCCTATACTGCCTTACATCAGTCATGGCTGATGCTAACCCCCAGGAAACGACACATTGCGCCTTCTTGGGCTCATGTTCTCTGCTGATATGAACTGGAGAGATTATATTGAATCCATTGCTAAGTCAGCTACTAAGAAAGTCACTATGTCGGACGAGACAATTGTTCTCTCCAGAATCTATCTTACATATCTATAAGTCTACAATTCGTTCATGCTTAGAATATTTCTGACACATATGGTCCAGTTGCACCTGCTATTTACCTGTAGCTTATTGATAAATTCCAAAGAAGAATCAGCAATATTATTAACCCTGACCTGGGGGCCCGTCTTCAGTCACTTTCTCTTCGTCGTAAGGTTGCCTCTCTGTGCCTTTTCTATAAATACTTTCATTATTTACATTATTTGGACTATTCTCCTCATCATTATTGCCATATTTATCACAACGTTTCGGCCGTTGTACACCCCGGCCTTCTTTAGGTGGTTGGAATGTCGAACTGAACCCTTTATTTCGCTCGCTGGGGTAGACTGTTCTAGTTCCATGTGCCATGCCTTATGGATGTCATTTATCAGTTATTTCCTGTTATTTCCCCTCTTCAAGTTCTCCACTGCCTTAACCAGGTATTGAACTCACAACTCTTTGGGTCCTGTCACTGGATCTAACCAACACCTTTATCCACTGTGCTATGTGTCCTTAATCTAAATAGTGTACATAGTGTCTCATCTCAGAAATATAGACAGATACTAAAATACTTTCATGGTAATTATTCGAATAAGCTCTTCGCTACAGTAGCTAGACTTTATGAGATTAAGCGCAATACTAGATTGACGATGAGGGCTCATCAATTTACAGTTGTGCTACCTAGATGTAGCTGTATGTTCAATGTCAACAGTTTCTTTTCTCGCACCTCTCAGTAGTGGGACTTTCTTCCGGCTCTATGTTTTCCAGTCAATTTTAATCTGTAAAAGTTTAAATGCAATGTCAATCTACTGCCCACCTAATTACTTTCTTCTTTTTCAGCTCATCATTAATGTTTCTGTTCATAATTCTTCCACACCATGTAACCCTTTGTGTTTTAATGGCATTATTGCCCTGCTTGGGGTGATTCCGATCTTTAAAAATGTCATATTTGGTGCCTTATTCCAGACTAATCTCAGTAATTATCAATAAACAGATAACGCTGATTGCAAATATTTCCAATTTATATTTCTTGAAAATCGTAAAAAGATTTGTTGAGGACAAGAGAAAAAATCCAGACAATCGACCCGAAAATATTTTCATTTCCTTGTAACGAATAACAATTAATTAAGTTGTTATTTAAATTGCCGTTGCTTGTCGTCGTCTAAAAATATTTTCTAATTGTGCACAAAATTGCTAATGTTGAATTTTGCTGAGTGACATTAATGAGACTTTTCGTTTTCTTTTTTATGTAAACCTATGTTGAATTTGAAGCATTTCCAAGATTAACCAGTTATCTGTCAAACCAATGGACATTCTGTACAGTACACACACACACACACATATATATATATATATATAAAAGATAGAGAAAGAGAGAGAGAGAGAGTGTGTGTGTGTATGTGTGAGTGATAGATAGATAGATAGATTGCAAATGAGGGTAAAACGCATGTATTTTAAACGAAAAAATATTTATTTTTCAAATAATGCCCTTCCTTGTCAATGCCCTTATTCAGTAGTAAAAATTTAATAGACTAAACATTATACAGTGAAATTTTCATATAAAAATTCAGCTAAACCTGACTGGCCAATTGATCCAATTTGTTCCTCGTTCAATGGATGTCAAAGTTTATTATGCGAGTCTATGTTTTTACAATAAAATTGCTATTAAGCAACAGAGTTTGATTAACAAGATTTTTCAGGATATATTTATATTTATATGCTCAAGATACTGAATGAAATTCAGCTTTTAATATTCATCTTTATTGAAAATATTGTAATTGGTCAATGGCGCAATATACATTATTGATGTCCGCTATATTGTTGCGGCACATAGTATCCCATATACCGGAATAGGTAATTATTTTATCAACATTTTATTCCGGAATGGGTTATTATTTTATCTACATTTTATTTTAAAAGTAATATCTTTTTAATGTTTACACTTATTTTTTTTTTTTTTTTTTTTGTTGTTCAAGAGAGATCATTTCATTCCGTTTTTTCGCAATTTCAAAAATTGTCCCAATCACTCAATAACTTGTGCCTACGGCCACATCACGTTTAAATACCGGTTCCCGTACGATCACCGAAGTTAAGCAATATCGAGCCTGGTTAGTACCTAGAAAGGGGACCGTTTGTGAATACCAGGTGCTGTAAGATTGGATTTGCGAATGGATAACGGCTCGAAATTATTAATCGAGGAGCCAAATTCCAAATCCAGTTGAGTTACTTATATTCCCTTACACGCAAACAACCTTGGAAAAGGTATGGATCCAAATCTTCTCACCCAACTATGGGTTAATTAGTATTTTGACCTTGAATAAGTTCTCGCTGTTTTTCAACAGATGGTGTTCCCAGAACTGCGTGCGTGTAGTTTCAGATGGTAACGCATCTATGAGGAAGTACTATAAGCTTGAAATTCAGTGTATGTCATTTCGCCGAAGTGTAAACAACTTTGTATTTGCCTACTTTATTCAAAAGAATCTGCAGCTGAAGCACACAGAATTCTTGTTGAGACTTACGGCGACCATGCTCTGTCGGAAACAACATGCAGAGATTGGTTTAAACGCTTCAAAATAATGATTTTGATGTTGAAAATAAACAACGCTCTGGCGCACCGAACAAATTTGAAGACAAAGAATTAGAGGCATTACATCATGAAGTCTAATGTCAGGCACAAGCTGAACTTGCAGAATCATTAGGAGGTGATCACACAACAGTTTCGAAACGTTTAAAAGCATTATGAATGATTAAAAGCAAGAACACTGGGTGCTGTACGAGTTGAAGTCGTGTGAGCAGCTGCTTCAACGACAGAAAAGGAAAGGTTTTTTGCATCGTATCGTGGCTGGCGATGAAAAGTGGATACACTATAATAACCCTAAGCGTAGAAGATCGTCGGGTAAGCCCAGCCATGCGACCATGCCGAATATCCATGTTTCAAAGCTTCTGCTCTGCATTTGGTGGGATCAGCTGGGTGTAGTTTATTATAAGCTACTCAAACCGACTCAAACCATCATGAGAGATCGCTATTGACTACAATTAATGAGTATGAGTCGAGTATTGAAGAAAAAAAACAGCTGCTATACGAAGAGAGACAGGACAAAGTGATTTTACAACATGACAACGCTAGGCTACATGTTGCAAAACGGGTGAAAATCTACTTGGAAACACTTAAATGAGAAGTCCTACTCCACCCGACATATTCACCAGACATTTCCCCGTCCGATTATCACTTGTTCCGATCGATGGCACATGGCCTGGCTGAGCAGCACTTTCATTGTTATGAAGATGCCAGAAAATGGGTCGACTCGTGGTTAGCCTCAAAAGGCGTATCTTTTTTCAGATGTCGAATTCAAATGCTGCTAGAGAGATGAAAAAAGTAGTGGCTAGCGATGGACAATACTTATATATAAAAAACATTCTTACAATATAAAAATATTTTCTGGTTTTAAATAACCTGTAAGGGGGGTGATAAGCCGTAGAAAACGAATCAATCAATCACTTAATAACTTGAGATTTCAGGTAGGGACTGATTTTATTTGAATTGGTGATGTTGGGGTTATTTTATTTGAATTTGTGGGATCTATGAGTAATTTTATTTCAACCATTTCAATCTTAATTGGATATATAAAACCAAAAAGTATCTGTTAAAAATACAAGTTGCTAATTTCTGTTAATTGTAAAATAGAAATGATTCTGGGATATTTAGTTCCGAATACTAAACACTATGTTTAAAAATACATTTTCTTTAAAGCGTAACACTTATTGAAGTTTCAGTAACTCTGTACTGTTTTTAAAAATACTAAAAGATTTTTGTACAAAAGTTAGATCGAAAGAGTTAAGCTCTTTTGTTAGCTGCTATCATACAAAAGTATAATGCAGGTGCGTAGTATTAGGATTATGTCATGATAATGAATTGTGAGTTGTGAGTTCCAGGATATTAAAAGATAACTGAAAGGTAATAGTTCCTGGTATTGAAAGACACTGAAAGATAATAACACCTGCATATTAGGAAAAATAATGTTTGTTTGATAGTGACAGAAATTGAAAAATGATCGATGTAGATATTTGAGGATACTAAAGGATAATGGATGATTAGAAGATATTTAGATATTAAATAATCTCGGCGGTCATTTCGAAGAACTGATGTTCACATTGTATATGATGCGTCGGTGGTATTTGATTTTGGCAATATTGGTCAAATCAATATTCCTACACACATAGATAACGTTCTGGACGTCCTCATAATATAAACACTTGCCAAGATTGAGGCATTCTAATGTCCACGATGACATAGTGTATGACTTCCAAGGAACAGATCAGAGCAAGTATGTCTCCAAATGTGTCAACAATGACCTGGGAATCGTTTATTTGTAGCAGGACTCGAGTCAAACTTCCACTTACGGCACATCATCACCATGCGCGTCTCCAGAGATGCCACGAACGGGTCCCTTAAGGGATTGAATGACACCCTGTAAGGATTTATGCAGTAAGCAGATCAGTGTCTGCTTTTATGCAAGTGATAATTTGACTGCATGATGTAGACCTAGTGAGCGGCATCTTTCAGAGTTGTATTCACTCAGGGTAAATAGCACCAGTATCGAGGGAATGTTAAATAGCGCCATTTACAACCAGAATATTGTCCAGGTCGTTCTGCTATCATTCCTGCAACAGGGAGGCGAAGTGCCCTTCCAGCAGGATAATGTCCACCCACATTATACCCATGTTATTCAAAACATATGACAAAGCATAAGTTATAACTCTCGCTTGCATTTACTGTTTAGGGAGAGAACACTGAACATTCCCCATATACGTTGAGAAAATTGTTCAACCTCTTCTGCTGTAATTACTGCTAAAGTAATAATGTACATCAACAGGTACAAGAGACATTGAATAATGCATCATAGGATAGTACTCACAATCTGTATGTTCGTAAGCATACAAGTAGTCTGTGTTAACGAGAAAGAAGGATAAACAATGTATTAATGTGGGGTCTGAGCCTATTGATACACAATTTGGAACATTTGTACGTATTTTACTGTACATATAATTACTGTAATCCTTCGAGATGTCTATTCTGGAATATACTGAAGCACATATTCAGGATGTTGAAATTTCATTTATGTATCAATTGGTAAAAACAGTTTCTGACCGATTTAACTTACAAATTTAATTTCGTTGTATACAGAACACTAGAGAAACAAAATGGCAGCTGTTGCAAAACTAAAAAGCATTTGTAAAGCCAACCACATTTATACATTGGCACATTTGTCTGAAATTAAAGATGAGATTGTTGCATGCATTGGCTTTCTCACTCTTTCTGTATGCCTTCGAATCTTGGAAATAAATTAGAGTTACAGCACATAATCCAAGCATTAGAAATTAGAGGCTACACATATATCTTCGACATCTCCTATGTAGACTGCATCCCAAATGACCCACTTTGAAACACCATAAAGCAAGAAACAGGCCCATTAAAAGGATCTCTTATACACCATCACAAAGAGAAAGTTAAAATGGCATAGACACCTAATAAGAGTCAACAATTCTTCCACTGCCGTCCTGCAAGGTACATCGATCCCAATAATCGGACCGGTACCGGGCCGTAGATCTTTTGGTAAGGGCTGCACAAAAAGAATAAAAACATTGTTTTCCTTATCTTATTAACTATCGCAGTCTGGTTTATTGTGTTTTGTTATGGACATAACAGACAACCACGACCCCGGTCCTTGGAAAATTACCTTGCATGATACCGATTCGAGGTGAAAAAAAGGTTGGGGACCGTTGCCTTAGGCAAAAGTAGAAGAGGCAGAGAGAGTAAAAATGGGCAAACAACATCACTGAGTTGACTGGAAGATCATTCAAAGGGAGTCTGATATTGGCACGTAAACGAGATATATAGAGAGAACTGGTCAGTTGCTCACCAACTACCGACATACGTGGTTATAGAACTGATGATGATGATCATCATCATCAATAGTAGTAATTATATTAGCAGCTGTAATTGTCTACCTCCAACGAACACATAAAGTAGAACACATGTTGCTACTTGTGATTTCTCAGTATTCCACTTTTCTTTTTGTTTATGCTTTTTTATTATATATACAATGAAACAATCGCATTTAAAAGGACTGCTTTGGCTAAAACATCTTTTGGCCCAGTGTTTCGCAACCTTTTTAAGCAACGGCACAACTAGGAACAAATGAAAATATCATGGCACACTTAGAAAAAAATTTAAAGGGTCTACGTTTAAATGTTATGAAATAAAACCATAGATTTAAAAAATACACACACAAATATGAACTTACTTTATTTCAATGTTTCTATTCAACTATTTGTGCAGCTTATTTAATACTTATTCATTTGCTCAAATACTAACGCGCGCGCGCGCACCCACACACACACACACACATATATATATATATATATATATATATATATATATATATATGCCGTGACAATATTTTGTCGCACACTTAAGAGAATTGCACGGCGGTTGAGAATCACCTGTTTTGACCGAAATAATAATTTTTTTTCATTGAATCTCGTTCAAGAAATGTTCTATTGAACATCTTCTTTCCACCGCTTTATTCGCTTCAAAAGTCATCTAAATCAATGACGTTAGCACATACTTGAAAATTAACTAGAATGCAAAATAAGTGGTACAAGATCATCAAAGGAAAGCTCCCATGAAAATCGAACACAACTAGAATCACGCGAATGAAACAGTGAGAACTGAGCTCAATAGAGTAACATTTACTAGACGTTTACACGACTGTTACAGTAACTATCGATCTATGGTAGGCGCATAACAAGTATATAGTTATTTACACAGTTAATTTTACTTAGTCTGCCATAAGTACATTAGTGAGAGGGCCAGTTAGTCTCGTCACAGACATTTCACTATGTCTGTATTACGTAAATATCTCATTATGGCAGGCATCCAACATGTAACTATATCTCGATGGGATTTGTGCTTTCTTATATAACCGTATCAATGGTTAACTGATTGTTTAACCTTCCCTGTTTGACATAGATGTGAAAAAAGATCTCTAGATTTATGGCGGGTGCACTAAACCATATGTGGTAGAAATATTCGAAGTATGCATGAATGATAAACTTATAGATATATAGATTCAGGAGGAAAAGAATTGTCT